CCGCCACACGCTGAAGCAATAAGGCATGACAGGGACTTTATTTCATCAGGGCCGCGCACCTTATGCATTTCGTGGCAGAAGGCCAAAGCACAAATGACTTCAACTCTCAAGAATATTCTTCCATAAATGCATTAAAACCCTGGCTACTGACTTATTAGTCCTAAGAAATGAAAATTACCCAAAAACCAAGGAGGAAGGAAGGTGTCCTAAGCTAGGTTCCTAGAGGTCAGGCCTCCTGACAGCCTGTAAGACACTTCCCTTTGCAAATAATGTTCAGAAGATAGAGCTTCATCTACTCCCAGTAAGGGCACTGTGATCTGAGAGCGCTACTCCTTCCTGGACCATCAAAGGGCAAAGGCTCAAAGTGCAGCTCAGAAGGTGAAGGTTTTGTCAGTGGGGTGATCCTTAGCCAGCTTTCAGGTTTGGCCGATCAGCGTTTTCTCATTTTTCCCTAAACGATCGCAAGAGGGCTTTGCAACTGTGTTGACAGAGTTGTTTCTTTAAAAATAATTCTGAGCCAATTTGGCTTTTAAAAATTTGCCTTTGAAGACAAAGGCTCCATGGTGGCTGTGATCTGGCCTCTCTCCCAGAGAGAGGTACATTTCTAGATGATTAGAGAACTTCAGGTGGGAACGTTACTCTGCCTCTGGCTCTCTGCCTTAAAATATGACCTAAGGCAAGCTATCATTTCCCAGAAATGAAATATGTCATATTTTACTATTAAAGTGAAGCAGAAAAAGAGCATTCTATTATAATAATGGTTTTTGTTTAAAAAATTTAAATGTCAAATCCCCAAAGGAATAATACATATCTGATACTATTATTGGAACTGTAATACCAGTAATCACACGAGGTACTTACATTTAGTATTGTTCATACAGTAAAGGGATTTTCATGTAAATCCTTCTGTAAAATTATGGTGTCAGAGGAGAATGAGGACCAGCACCACGCATTATTCATGCAATCAATACGCATTCACTGGGAATGAGTGTGTCAGTCAACAGTCTAAATGTGAGAGCTGCAGACATGATGTCTAGAATACTCCCTTGCCTTCAGCGTGCTCACAGTCCAGTCGGGGAGGCAACTGTCACCACAGACATGGCAGAGCTTCCGATGGGCTGTGGATGAATGCGTGGAATCAGTTCATCAAGGGGCCTCTGCTATGTTTACATGGCCGAGTCAGCTAAGCCGAACCTCAAAATACCAAGATGTAGGATTTCATGGGCAAATGGAAGAGAATGGGCAAGAAAGTCACAGCAAAGGAACATGAAAGGAACAGATAAACACATTTCGGTGACTGGTTTTGTGTAGTCACAGAGGCATGCCTGTCAAACCATTTAATGTCAGATGATGAAGTAGTTTGAATTAAAAAATAAACTTGAATGACTTTTGAGCAGTATAATTTTAGGAATGAATATATTTTACATTATATTCTATAGGACAAAGGCAGTGAGAGAAAGAGGCAAAATGCCACATGAGATAAAACTGTCATTTTCATCCTGACTCATCTGTTAACTTATGAAAATACACTTACATCAAGAAATACAAGAAGATTGCTCACTTCACGTGCTCGCTGGTGGATTGAACCTAATTTTGTAGCATTAAAACCAATTTTCCACTGAGAAAACATATCACAGAGGATTGCATGAACCTTTATAATGATTAATATTTGATATTTCAATGTCACCTTTTATCCTGAGATCTGTCCCATGCTCATGGCACAGATAAGCTCCAAGGAAACAGTTCTAATAGAATATGCCATGCTTTCTGTTTTCCGTATTCCAAAGGCTTTCTGGCCATGCATTTCTCTTGCCTCTAATGTTAGCACAAATTAAGGCAGGGGTTTTGTCTGTTGGGTCCTACTGTGACACGTCTTACACTAGAATATGAGCTGCATCGTTTTACTTTCAGCTCTTCTTGGAGGATGAAATTTCACATGGCCATTCCTCTTCCCCTTTGCTTCATTGCCACTATGTCATCCTGTGTTGAGAACATAACTGGGCTGTGTGTTGGTAGAGTTCTTCAGGTTCCTCAGGAGGAAAACAAAACACCATCATCATCACCACTACCAACAGCAGAAACATCAGCTCCATCACCACCATCACCACCATAACCATTATCACCACCACCATCACCACCATCATCACAACTACCATTACCACCACCATCACTATTATCACCACCACCATCATCACAACTACCATTACCACCACCATCATCACCACCACCATCATCACCACCACCATCATCACCATCATCACAACTACCATTACCACCACCATCATCACCATCACTATTATCACCACCACCATCACCACAACTACCATTACCACCACCACCATCATCACCATCATCATCATCACCACCACCATTATCACCACCACCACCATCATCACCACCACCATCATCACCACCACCATCATCATCACCACCATTGTCACCCTCACAATTCTCATTATGCCACTGCTTATAAAGCACTCACTGCTGATCTGTTATTCTATATAAAAGCGATATCCATTAATCTGACAGCAACATTAGAGGGTGGGGTGCTGCCCAATGGATCTTTCTGTGATTGCGGAATGGTTTTCTAAGTGTTATCAGGTATGGAAACCACCGCTGTGCATGGCCAGGGTTGGTAAGAACCAGCCATACTTATTTTGTATTTAATTGTAATTAAATTCATAGTAGTAACACAGAGACTGTAGTCTGAGTGTTGGTCAACACAGCTGCAGCAACTAGTTAGGTTTATTGTTGTTGTTATTATTATTAATTATTTTAAACAAAGAGCTGGAGGGATGACTCAGTACTTGAGAGCACTTGCTGCTCTTGCAGAAGACCCAAGTCTGGTTCCCAGCGCCCACGCTGAGCCTGCAACAACCTGTAACTTTCCAGCTCTGGGTGATCTGAACCCCTCTTCTGTCCTTCATGGGCCAGGGCACACACAAAAACAAAAACAAAATTAATAATCCCCCCAAACCAAGCCAAACCCCAGGGGTCTATTTTCATCATGTCTATGTTTATCATTTATTACATATGAAAGGCTAGAGTGAGGAAGGGGTCTGAAATATTCTTGAAGCCACAACTACTTTTGAAGGAGTCCTATAGCCTATGATTGGAGAACTTTTAAATCGGCCTTTTCTTCTATGTTAAAAGTAGATTTTAAAACTCCTGTGGAGTGAGTAAGATAACCAAGCGTTTTCCAAACAAAGACTATTTGGAAAAGATATGGTTGATGTCTTAAATGAAATTTAAATGTTCTCCAACAGCCCCAAGTGGTCCCCAAAGACAAGCACAAACTTGACAGCAGACCATTCTAACCCATTTATGAACTAGGGCAATGCAGAACGATTTTAGTTTCGAGTGTCCAAGGGAGTCTTCAGATAAGTCTTCTCACTAAAATCCACTTCCCTGGTACTTTTGCTTTGGTGTGAAAATGCAGAAAGACGCCTCTGTATGAGAAGACTGAATTACATCTCCAGCAGTAGTCCCCACTGTAAACTTGTGGCTCTGTCTCCAGAAAGCACTTAAGTAGCCCTCGGACTGAACCATCTGTCGCAAAAAAATGTGACATATGCTTTCTCAACTGCCGAGTGTAAACTGATACACTGAGCTTGAAATCTGTGTCTTATGTGATTGAATGTGACGCGGGGGGGGGGGGGGAGGATTCAAGGTGAAGGCACCACCCGCTTCCTACCTACCCAAGGCAGGGGAGGAGCTAGGCTAGCGGGGTCCCCTGGGTCGTTCACAGAGGCGCAGCACTCTGAGGACTCCAAACAATGCACCGCGCCGCCACACTGGCAGCCTCTGCGGCTGAAGGGCTCGCCTGGCGGATAGCACTTGAAAGGAGAGCCACGCACCTCCTCCTAGCCTCTCTGCCCTTACACCCTGGCCTCAGACTTACACTAAAGCCTGTGCCCTTTTCAATTAACCCCCTGCATCAAAAAAAGCCTTTCCTTTCTGTCCTTCCCGGCGGCCCATTGTCTGCGGTGATAGGTTTGCAGAACTGACAGCTGGGCTCACAGATTTTATTCAAACTCGCTTTTCCTGAGAGATGAACTTGGACATAGCAAAGATCTCCAACACAAGCCCCGAGCATCGAGCTAGTCGCCAGCCACTGCGGACACACTCTAGACAGACCTCTCCACCCTTCAGGGGCAGCGGGGTTCCGCGAGGAATAGGCTCAGCAAAACCGCTGGAGCGACCCTAGCCCTTCACCCCAACTTCTAGCGACCCTAGAAGTTGGGGTGAAGGGCTAGCGATGTGTTCCGCTTATAAAATGTTTCTGAAAAAATTTTTTACTCTTCAAACAGTCAAGATGGAGGTCACCTCATAAATTACCCAGAGCTGGTTCTGACCAGACCTGAGTGCGGTGGGCTGGGGACTGCTTTGTCTCGCCGTGGGAGTCTGATGAGGGCGGCGTGGGGTCGCTCGGGCGTGGATCCACGGGTGGGGCATCCCTCCCGGACCGCCGCTCGGGGCTCAGGTCTGAATGAGTGTGCTCCGCGCCAAGTCTTGAGTCACAGCCGCGAATGACAAGGAGGAAAAAAACAACTTTGCGTTCAAAAGGGTCTGGGTGGGTTGCTGTGTTGCACTAAGAAAGGGCCCTTGTGCACGGAGGGGGGTGCAGTCTCCGAGGCGGCGGCGGCGTGGCGCTGCGGGTCCGAGCCCGCGTGCGTGCCGGCCTCGGGTCCCACCGCCAGGCCGCCTGTCAGTCGGCTGTAGCGCACAGAGGAGCAGCGGCAGCCCGAGGGTCCTCTAGACCAAACCAATGTGAGCAAGCTGCCCTCCCGCCGCTTCCAATAACCGCCGCCACCCCTAACGGGCATCCAGCCGGGCGGGGAGGTCTGCTCGGAAGTCGTCCTGGCCAACTCTGCCCTCCGCTCTGTAGCAGATGATGGCATCTTCTTTTTCCCTAGCGCGGGGAAAGTGAGCCCGGAAAGAGAAAGAGGAGGCGGGGACACCCCAAGGAATAAATAAACAAACACTGGCCACTCGCTGCAGCCGGACGCGGGTCAGCTTGGTCCAGGTTGGTGGCATTTAGGAGTTTTCTCTTTCCACTTGAGGACCCATCGCCCTCACCCCCAGCTCCACCATCCCTTTCCATTTTGCTAGCATCCTCCAACTTTGGGGCCAGGGGGGCGCTAGCGGCGCGGGGCTGCACCTGCTGGGGCGCGCAGATGCTGCGGGCCGGCTCGCTCTCCCGGGGCAGCGGTGTGGATGCGCAGGAGTTCGGGCGCTGGGCAAGCGCGCGTGAGGCGCCGGTGTCCAGGAGCGAGCCCAGCGCGCGCGGCGGGCAGGGGTAGGGGCGCAGCAGCCAGCTCTCGGCTCCGGGCGGGATGCCGGTTCCCCCGGGCGGACGCTAGTCCGGGAGAGGGGGTGTCGGCCACGGAGATGGCCGGTGCCCGGGATCCAGAGGGCCCGAGGCGGGGGAGCCGGCGAGCGCCGCCAGGGAGGGCGGCCAACTTCCCGGAGCGGGGCTCGGGCCGGCCGCGCGGGCGACGGGCCCTCGCCGCCGCCGCTCGCTCCCAAAGTCGCGCCCGTTTCCCTGCCCGCAGCCTCCCGGGCTGTGCGGGGCAGCCGCGGCTCCGGACGCTGGCAGCCCCCAGCCGCGGGTCCCGGAGCTGCCCCGGCCGGGCCCGGCGAACTCGCGCTCGGGCCCCGCGTGGGGCGGCGTTGGGAAGTCCCCGGGGAGGGGCGGGGGAGGGGAGAGGCGGGAGGCTGCCCACCCCGGGCCTCAGTTCAGAGCGCTCTCCCTGCAGGCCGGGTCGCAGCTGAAGGCCGGCGAGCGGGCCCGCCTCGCGCCCTCGCGCCCCCCCGGAGCTGGAGCCGGCGGCGGACGACGGGAGCCTCCTCTGCCCTGGATGGAGCTGAACTTCCCGCGGCCGGAGGAGCGCGCTCGCCCGGGCGCCGCTGCGCGCTGAGCTCCCGGCGAGACCCGGCGGCCGCTTTGGATTTGGGGGGGCGGGGACCAGCTGCGCGCCGGCACCATGTTCCTGGCCACCCTGTACTTCGCGCTGCCACTCCTGGGTAAGTGGAGGCCGCCGCTGGCTCTCTCGCAGTGCAGTGGGGTCCGGAACTGCGGTGTGGGGTGCCCTGACGAGGGTGGGAGAAGTTCGCGAGGGGTAAGAGGTTCAAGACGGCCTGGGCTTGGGAAGCGGTGGCGGCTCGGCGAGGTCGATTTTCCTGATAATACCGGCCTGAAGGGGAAGCGAGGAGCCCGAGGCCTCCACCCCGGGGCGTTGGTTCCCCTAGGCCGGCAAGGAGCTCAGGAGGCGCTCCGGCAGGTGGAGTGTGGCCGGACGCACCGGGGGACGGGAGGAGAGCAAACTTGGAATGGAAAACTTTTCTGGGAATAACGCCTCTGCGCACCCGCGGGGCACCGTGCGCCACTCGCCCGCCTCTCGCCCGGCGCGCGACGGGTGCCGAGCGCCCCTCCGCGCTGTTCCGCCGAGGGCAGCCGGGAGGCTCTGCAGTCCCGGGTGCCGGCAGGTCCCCGGGTTCAGGACCGCTGCTGCCTGGGGGCGCCCGGGCGGCGGCGGCCAGCGGAAGCTGTTACTGCCTTCCTTGTTGGGCCAGGGAGGGGCACGATGGCAGGGGTGCCGGAGGTGGGAAGGTGGGCTCCCAGGGCCGCCCAGAAGAGCCCCTCACTGCGATGGCGGAGGCAGGCGCGCGTCCCCCGCCCCGCCCGGGACCGGTTCCCACCAGTGCTGCACTCGAGAGCCTTCTCCCCTCCTCCCTGTAGATTTGCTGCTGTCGGCCGAGGTGAGCAGCGGGGACCGCCTGGACTGCGTGAAGGCCAGTGACCAGTGCCTGAAGGAACAGAGCTGCAGCACCAAGTACCGCACGCTGAGGCAGTGCGTGGCGGGCAAGGAGACCAACTTCAGCCTGACATCCGGCCTCGAGGCCAAGGATGAGTGCCGCAGCGCCATGGAGGCCCTGAAGCAGAAATCGCTCTACAACTGCCGCTGCAAGCGGGGCATGAAGAAGGAGAAGAACTGCCTGCGCATCTACTGGAGCATGTACCAGAGCCTGCAGGGTACGCCCGGCCGCCCCCGGCCTGCCGCGCACCTCTCCGGAGGCCGCGCAGGCACCCCAGTCCCGTCCGTCCCGGACTGAGCTGGCTGAGCTCATCTTCTCGCTTCTCCCAGCTGCGGAATGAAGACCTTTCATTGGCCCCTAGGGACAGCGGCAGCTGGTGTTTGCTGCAGCTGAGCAGTGTTGTCGGAAAATCCACGCGGGGGTGGGGGCACCCCTGGGACCCCATTGATCTTCCTGAGATCTAGTCAGAACATCAGAGGGGGGACCCTTACATCTACCCGAGGAACCCACTTGGCCAGCCTGAGGCTTCCCAGTAATCACACAAAGGCTTGCTTGCACCTGGCATGGAGTTTGCCTTCTTTCCTCCCTGTGACATGAGATAAAGAAGTATTGCAGAGGCAGTGAACTCTGCTCTGTCTTCACCCCTCACACCGGCTCAAAGACACGCGTGTGAAAACCATTTGTCATCTTAGATTAGTGGAGTTTTAAAGCAGCTGCTGAGGTTCAGCCGTGGTTAGCAGAGAAGGAGCCATCACAGCTGCCCGTTCCAGTGGGAGGTAGGGAGTCTGTGAGTGGACAGACTGTATCCCAAACCTTCCTTCCTCCCCGACACTCACTGAACATGTACAACACGGAAGCTTGGACTGTCAGCCTCCACTTCTAAACTCCAATGGTGAAAACCTGTGTTTAGAAATCGTCTAGATATTAGTAGCCAGTGTTCCTACTGGCAGGCCAGAGGCCATGGTGTGGCCAGCTAACAGAGACAGGGGCATCTCCTGGGTCACCTTTCTTTCATTGGTTCCTGGAGGCAAGCAAAGTTTGTGACGTCATGGGCTCGTTCCTTTGCAAAAAGTGGGAGAGTTTTCTGGCAATCGTGGGCGGGGTGTGCTCCACTGAGGCACACTGGGATGAGCAAGGACAACAGAGATAGAGGAATGAAAAGGAAATAACCATACCCCAAGCACGCATGTGAAATCTTTGAGAGCTTCAGCGTCTTCTTGGTACACAGTCCTAACATGATTAGGGGTGCTGTCTGAGTGGTGGAACACTGTTTGAAATATGCCTGTTCTCCAGAGCTGAGCCTAATCTTCCTGTCATTTCCAGGAAATGACCTGCTGGAAGATTCTCCATACGAGCCGGTTAACAGCAGGCTGTCGGACATATTCCGGGCAGTCCCATTCATATCAGGTAAGGTGATTTACACTTCTACTACGATTCCTTTGTCGGCCCATCTGTTGGCTTGCCGTCTCCTGAGGTCTCTCCTGTGTGTGAGGAGTGTTTCTGGGAAATCAGAAGTAGGGTGAGGATCATGAAGAGGTGGAATGCCTAGCATGTGTGTGTGAAGAGCAGTTCTCAGTGAAGCCATGTGTGCTGGTTTGGAAGAGCCTGGAGGGAGGTGACTGAATTGACTTAAAAAAAAAAAAAAGACAATAAAATGTGATTGGCCAGCTCTTGGCAGAGGGAACACTGCTTCCGACTGTAGGTGGCAATCATATTCCTGTTGCTGCATACCTCACCCAGTAAGAGGATCCGTGCTCACGAAGCCACTGTCTTCAGGAAACAGTGGAGATTTAAAAACAAAACGAAACAAAAAACCTCTTGAGAAATTGGGGGTAGACTGTTGCCTTTGATTTAAAAGCTGACATTGTCCTCTTTGTTCATATTTTCCCTTCTGTTTTGTCCTGAGCAACTGTGCACTTCTGCCCATGGCCCTTTAAATTGTGGTCTCATTGCCCTTGTTTGGGCTCTCTTTGCAGTTCTGCATTTGGTTTGGAAATGAAGAATTAAGCTTTTTCTTTTCCATAGCATCTGCATTCAGACTGCCCACATAGAACAGGCAAGGCAGTAATTTCTCTTAATAAAATACAGATTCCAGCCTGATGCTATATTTACTTATTTATAGTTAAGAAATTTTCTCAAGTACATATAACCACCACAAATTACACACGTCTTAGTGGTTAAACATGGTGGTAGTGTTGAGTTTGGCTGTGTGAGGTGTTGGGGAGCGTGCTCTAGGATTTCAGATGCCTCGGGCTTCGTGCAGGAACAGCGAGCCCGGGGAGTCTGTGGGCACTGACGCTGTGTGAGTGTGCTACTCTCACCGGCCAGCTAGCATTGGGCATCTCCTGTGTTCTCATTATTGTGGTTTTGGCTTCAAGCCAGCTACCATCCCAGTCCTCACGAATCTTAGAGGCAGCTGCTGGTACTTCCTGAGCCCGTAGGACACGCCAAGCACTGTGTCAGCAGCTCCTCATCACTAACTCACACTCTGCACAAGCAGACTGAGCCCCAGGGATGCTGGGAACGTAGATTGGAGTCAGAGTTCCTAAATGCAAGAAGCAGAGCGCAGAGCCAGATGTGTTCGATTGGAAGGTGTTTACTGTTTTTCATCTACCCAGTGCTGGCACTGACTGTCGACGTGGAAGTTAGAATCTCAGGTTGCAGCCACACTTACTGACTCAGAATCTGCATTTTAGCAAGCCTCACATGGATGGTCCTTCCTGGCTGCATGAAGCCTGAGATGCACTTCTGTACAAGATTTTCTCTCTGGTCTCTCAGTTTAGAGGCTCTGTCTCTCTCTGTCCCACCCCTCAGTGTGTGTGTGTATGTGTGTGTGTGTGTGAGAGAGAGAGACAGAGACAGAGACAGAGAAAGACAGAGACAGAAAGAGTGAGTATGTGTGTTTGGGTTAAGACATAAGGCTGTAAGTTGGTATCAGAGACCTTCATGTTCTCTTGAATTTTCTGATAATTTTTACTCTAAATGTTGACTGTTTTTCCTTGGCCTGCAAGGCAGAGAAAAGGCAATCTTAAGCACTGAGAGAGAGAGCAATGTGTGGACAGTGTGCTTTCAAGGAAGCAGCTGTGGAGGGGCTAAGATGGGGTGTAACTGATGGGGGGGCACTGACCTCTGACCTTTGTGCGTCTTACCTGCTGCTGCCATGAAAATGCCTCTTTTCACGGATGGCAGGAAGGGTGTCACCCACCTTATAGATAATGGTCATCTTGATTTACTCTCAGAGCAGCAGTGAGCTCTGTGTGGAGCTCTGCACAGACTTGGTCCTTGCCTTATCATTCATCTCTCCTGGGTATAATTGGAATAAGTAACCTTCAATTCTCCAGTCTGCAGTTCTGGAGGAAGACTGGTGTCACCTCCAATTCCATTCTGTGCCCCTAAGTTCCTGTACCGCCTTTAAACTGCAAGGCTCTTCTGGGATACCACTGATGTGTCTGAATTTCCTTGATGAGTATCAGAAAAATCTTCTATACTGACCAGATTTCTTTTATTCGTTTATTAGATAAGTAAATGGAGTCAGATCTGTTTTCACAGCAGACAGGATCCCGAGTGTGTGAGGCCAGCCCTGCTGAGTACCTGAATGAGGTCAAGAGAGGCAGGAAGCCTTCCTTTGGAGCTTGCATTTGCTATCTCAAGGGCATTGGACTTAGTTTCTAGCCCCAGAGGGCTTTAACCTTTGACAGTGACTGCGTTCCTTAAGGGGATATAGTAAAGCCAAATGGAGGGGTTTGGAGTCATTGAATTTGCCACGTTAGTATAGCCTCAGTCCAGTAGCTGCTGGAGAAGCAGGATGGCAAATGTAGCCGTTCACTGTTGGATTTTGAGTTTGTAGAGTCTCTGTCCTGTGTTGGGCTAGTCTCTGATGAAGCCGGGACAGCTGACTCCTACAGATGAAGTAACTAACCATCAGGGGTCCCGTGTTTGCGTTACCATGCCAGGTGTGAACTGAACACGTGTGAGCTAAATCTTCCCATTGGCATGTTTGCAAGTACAGCAATGAAGGTGGCCCAGTGAGTTGGCGCTTAAGGTATGAACATGAGGAATGGAGTTTGGGTCACCCGCACCCTCGAAAGCTGGCTCAGTGATGTATAAACCTCCAGCCTCAGCGTTGAGCACATGACAGCCAAGACAGGCTGATCTGCTGTCCAGCCACCACGCTTCAGGTTCAGAGAGAGACCTGCCTATAAACAAACAAACAAACAAACAAACAAGGGGGAGAGAGTCGTAGGTGGCTAGCCTCCACACACACATACATGGCTGAGTGCATCTGTGTACACGGAAGCAACCCTGGCCCCCTAAAGGACACATGTATTTCCATTCTCCTTGGAGTCTTCAAGCCCAAAGCTGTCTTGCTAATGGATAGACGGCCTTGTGGAGATATAACGTGTGGCCAGGCAGGAACAAGGAAGAGAACAGCAATAAAATATGGTCTAAAACAGTTTTCTCTTCTGAAGCCCAAGATTCTGAACTGCAGAAGGGAAGTGGAGCCTCTGACTCAGGCTAGTGTTTGAGTGGTAGTTGGCAGACCTACACGTGTGAAGATTTGATTGCTGTAGCCTTTGGTCTCTAAGGCATACAGAGGGACTTGGGGAGGTATGTTCACTGTGGACTCTCCAGTGTGCTTTCCAAGGCTCCAGGGCCTGGATTACACAAAGAGAAAATGAGCCAGTGTGGAAGAGTGTTAAAGTAGATAGGGGACATGAAGAGGGCAGAATTGTGCAAACACTTGGAGACCTGGACACTGGACTCCATCGTAGAGGACTTGGCATCTCCTTCTCTCTTGGCCACAGCCCTCTGCCCGCTGAACTCTGGTTTGCTTTCTGTGTTCTTCCCAAAAGTTTAATCACAGCAGCAACTGGACATGAGCCTGAAAGGATGGTGAAGCTGCTGCCATTTTTTTTCTTTTGACTCTCTATAAAAGGGGAACGATGCATGGAGACAGTTGGACAGTCCAGTGGGAGCCAAGAGAGGCTGTGGGAGAAGAGAAGCAGAAAAAGAAAAAGAGGGCTTTCACAGGTTTGAGCACACCTCCTTGCAAGGGTTCAAGTCCTGATTGTGAGCTTGCATTTTAGAAAGAGTTGGGAGTTGCTGGGCTTTCCACATATAGAACCATGTGGATACTGACGTGTAAGCAGGTCAGGTATAGTGTGTTAGAACCCAGACCTCCTATGGATGACTTGGAGAGAGACTACCCAGGCTGCATCTCAGCTGCCCCTTGCCTAGCAGGCTCTGTGGGTGTCTTAGACCTTTCCTGAAGTGTCTGGATGTTGACTTTTGGGAATGGATTGATCCAGAGGTGGGCTGCACCCACACTTTTCTTGAGCCTGAATTTCTGGGCAAGACTGTCCATCATTGGCTGTACTCGCCATAATCTGTACATTACCACCTTAAAAAACTTCATTAGAAACTTTGCTTCATGACTGTGACATCATCTTTGGCTTACAGGTGAGCCTCAGTGCCGCCTTGCTATTTCTTCTGGAGGCTGGGGTCCTGCCCTGTTTACTCAGTTCTTGATCTACTTAATTTTTATGTCTGTGTGTGCATTTGTCCACATACATATGGGTGCCCGAGGAGGCCAGAGGAGGGCATTGGGGCCCTTGGAGTCGGGGTTTAGGTATTGTGAGCCTGGTGTGGGTGCTGAGAACCAGACTCCAGTGCTCCCTCAGAGCAATCCACACTCCTGAGCTCTGAGCCCTTTCTCCTGCCCCTGGAGCTCCCGGCTGTGGCTCCTGAGCTGAGTCTGCTCTTAGCAGGCCGTGGAGGCCCTTTGTTGCCTGTTCTTACTACCCTCCTGGAAGCTTCATGCCCTGTTTCCAATCAGGCTTCATCAGTCAAGCCCTTCCCTGTGTATTCCAGCCAGGTTCGCCCTCTTGGGCCATTGCTCATGGCCTTGTTGTTTCAGAAGCTTCTGACAGGTCTTCAAGACTGCAGTCAGATTTCATCTCTGAAAGTCTTGCTGGAATCCCCTAGCCAGCTCCTTCACTTAGGGCTTCCTCCTGTCTCCTGTGCTCTTAGTTTATGGTAGCTGTTAATCATGGCACATTGAGAGGACTATTTATGTGTCTGTCTTTCCCACTGGAAGTTGGCGACTGCTTGCTATGCGCTGTGTCTACTCAGGGCCCAGCACCCTTTCTGGTCCAGAGGCAGACATTGTGTTGACCACAGGTGGCTGCTGGTCATGGCAGCGTTCTTGGAGATATAGGCCAGCCTATGCCTCTGCAGAGAGGAAACATGATAAAGACCACAGTGCTTGCAATTGCCAGGGCTCTGCTGTGTGTTGGGGGATGTAGCCTATTTTTGCTGCATGCTCTGGGCTTACCTTATTTATTTGGGGACCTGGGATACCTGCTATGTGGACTATTCAGGGCCTTCTCCTCCAGCATCTTCCAGGC